AGCTTTTCCTACTCTATTCGAAAGTCTTTATATATGAATACTCGACCTGTAGCCCACCAGCTACTGCAGACTAGTAGCGAAATATTACCAAGCAGCCAACAGGCAACTGGTACTATACAAGCACTTAGTGATTTATCATACTAACCGTGCAGGCATAAGGTAAAAGTACATAAGCAGCTCACTAAGAGTGCAACAGGCCAGACGCAGACGGCTGTTTCACGGCCGTTACCGATCATCAGTGCACCATAGGCCGTATGAAGTGAGGTATACAAGCATGTCACGTGAGCGTTTGACCCTAATTGCTGTGGTTGGATCTTACTCGATCTCATTCTGTCCGCACGCCAACTTTCTACTGACGGCAACAGAAGTTGTGTCGTAGGACACATGCCACATATAAAACAAGCTGGCACGCGGGCAGAATGGGATCGAGTGAGATCCTAAGCACAAAAGTGAGGGTCAAACAATTACTTGATATAAGCTTAAAGTCCAGTCACGCGTCATACACCAATATTACGTTGCCGCATGACGCAGCTGCGAGGGGTACGGTTCATCATTGGTCCCCAACGTTCTCTGTGAGTTTTTGGACATATGAAATCCAGTTTCCATTCTGCCCTGTTTGGTTTCAGGGGAAATTAGTACGCGAACGTCGCAGTAAATTCCTGGGAACAAAACTTTTAAGGCTTGGTCAGAAAGCTTTATACTGATAGATTCACTCCAAGTTCGAGCATTAATTTCCTCTGAAATTAAAAGAGGTATAACATTGAAACTGGAATTTATATATCAGAAAGCACACGGGGAACATTGGGGAGCCAGTGATGGCCGAACCCCTCGCAACTGCCTTATGCGACTGCACAAGCTCGGCGAAGCCCGTGTTTTTGGACTTTTAGCTAACTCCTCAGTTGTTAGCTTGGTAAACAACCTATCTTTGTCTACTGCTTATTTATAATACCTACATCGGCAACACGGTGCTCACACCTTAGCCATATGTGGAAAAGGTTTTTTTGATCTAAGTGCTGGTCACAGTAATCCGTACAGTGAATCCGTACAGTGTCCCGGAAAGCCGAATTTACCTCATTTAGTTCCAAGGAACCCTTCTACATTTGCATACTCAGGGAGCCTTAATTTGATTCGGCCAAGATATTAAATGTATGCTGGAGATCTCAAAAAATTTCCTATAGAAGTCTAGGCCATGCGATTCGGTTAGGAATTATACAGTCAGAGGGGAGCGTTCATAGACAACGCTCAAGCTGCAAATCAATAATCGAGAGATGATATTGTTCATTTATCTCCTACCTATTTATAAATAGGAGACGGAAGTGAATAATATTCTCGTCAAATCATAACGAACCTTCTGTTACTATACATTTAAAAGATCATGGCGTACTATAATTGCCCATGATAAAGTTTCTTATGGGGTTACTGATACGAATGGGTAATTTGAAGGTAATAGCGCACCTTATCAGTGGGAAATAAACGTATTTAATAAGGAAAAAAAGGCCGTGGATCGTGTGGAGCGAAGGAAGTAAGATGAGAGTCACTGGTTAAGTTATTATGAAAAGTAAAAAATGTTGGCCTGAGGTCCAGGATAGACCTTGTATCTGCACACAGTTCTGAGACATCTGTCTGTTTAGCCATTCCTCCCGCTGTAAGGAGAGTACGTCCTCGAAGAGATCTGTCCTGGCAGCCTGACTTTCGAGGGTTTATTCGAGAAGGCTTCATTTGAGTCTAGACAGCATCTAAAAATGCTTGTGCTCTCATTTATCTCCAATAGGGCTGTCAGATGAAAATTTTGGCATACATAATTTATTCGCAATAAAATGTCACCAAGACCTTCTCATATTGCTCAACCTGTTGGCACTTTCTAGCTTCAGAAACTAAAATAACTAAATAACCAGCAGCGTGACCGTGTGTCGGAGGGTTGACTTTTCACTTTCTCTTTCAATTTTACCCGTTTTTTCTTAGAGATTCCGTTGCAGGCTATTCTACAAAATAGAACAGTATGGAAATTGGTTGGCAAGGTATTTAAATCCTCCATATAATGGACTCTCGTCAGCAACCGTTGATACCATGATTGCCTTGGAAACCAGCGCTATCCCCCATTCTGAAGAAAGTCATTATCTACTGTTGTCTGCGCACGTGCGTGTGCTTCCAAGAAGTGCGGATACCTGGGGCTGGGGTTCTGCCTGATTGGCATCAATAGCCTTTGACGTTAACGTTGGGATGCGCGGGCGTGCGTGTGCGTGTTAACACCACGGTCTTCGTCAGCGGAAATCATTTTTACCCTCAGACGCACACTATAACTTTGCCCGCGAAGGGTAGGCAGAATTGGGCACGCGCTACCCGCCATCGCCTTTGCGTCCTTTTTTGATTCGTCCTCTGCATGACCTCTCATGGTTGAAATGCAACCAATCAGGACGCAGGCACAGCGGGACAGCAATAACCTTTTTCGTTGTAACATACGGCTTCCCCTTTATTTTGCCGGCGGACAGTGCCCGAGTGAAAGGTTTACACAACTCCAACCTGATTGGATGTTTTAGGATGTCGAGGTAAAGGGATCGTCTGTACGCACCGGCAGTCAGCCGCATATCGACAAATACGAGCAGTTTGTGCGGGCAACCTTGGCTGACATCGTGTATTAACACTCGCCTGGGAATCCTTCCGTTTGTGCAGAAAGCGAATAAAGATGTCCACGGAACCGGTCGTTTATAGCCTGCGGAGACCCAATTCGGATAAATCATGGGGATTTGCACTGCAGGGTGGAGCCGACCAAGGACTACCTGTTTTTGTCCACAAGGTATAAACTAATGGGTTGGTTTTATATCAGTAAATTCTACATTTGGCATGAATTTGTTCCCCCAATTTCAAAAGTTCTTCATTTTCTTCCAACAGGTTCATACTACGTAAATTAATGATGCCACGGGCATTTGAGTAAATCTTAAATCTTGATGATAGCGTATATTTCTAATGACTACATTTAAGCTCTTCTGGCCAAGGTTTTGTTTCGCCCTGAACGCATAAACTGAATCTCAGACGTTTAGAAGCATTTCACTAACTAGTCCTAGATGTTTACAGATAAAGGGGAATTAATTTTGATGTGGAGGACTTTTAAATAATTGTAAAACAAAACCAATCTTGATTTCTGTTAGATTAATTCCCGCGTGAAAAAGGTGCTTCTTGCAATACTTCTCCTATCTTCTGGTAGCAATTGGTAGTAGTGCAGACTTGTGTAATTTTCAAGCGCACTGAACCATGAATGCCTAGGCTCAACGTTTCTGATCGTCCAATAATCGGCGCAACCAATTATGTATATATTATCGGCGTTCGGTTGCCGATCATTTAGCAAAGATACACGGAAAGTACGATAATTTTTCATTCGTGTTTAAAAAGCTATTCTTAATAGGTGCAGTATAAATTTAAGGATTTTGTAAGACTGTAACAGCTGCGAAGCATGCTGCATCAGCAAGGGCCCTTCGTTCAGCTCACATCGGACAAAGAAACGCCAGATTTTTAACTATACCCAAATTTATATATTGGGACTATTCATAAATGGTGATGTTATGCTGAAACACATACTCTAGCGATCCGAACATTTAAACTCCACGACATCCATATTAAATGTGTTCTGTATTGTTGTAGTGTCACAATACGGAGGCCATCTCTAAAACAACGATAACAGCTTTATGCGTATTTTTTAAAATAAACTTTAACTATTGTTTGCACGCATGGGAACATTCGTTAACGTGTGGCCTTCCTAACGCAAATAATTCAGTGAATTTTGTGCTATAAGCGGAAAACGATGAATGGTTAGGCGAAGCCTTATAGTAAGCTGGGTTTGAGTACTGGCTAACATGAAGCATAGGCACCAGTAATTTTGTAAATGGCAGCATTGACTTTTGATGGACAGTTTTTATAGCGGCAAGTCACAAGTGAGGCAAACTCATGGCTTATGCGAAGCTACCTCTCTTTGCTATCTGCGCACATTCAGGCCGACGTTTTTGAAAAAGGACGAGGCATGCACTTCATGGACTCATGTAGAAAAAATGAGCTTTGAAAATCTGTCAAAAATAAGGACAAGATAAAATTTTTTTGGGTTTTGCAGAACTACGCGCACGTTAATGTTTCACCGTAGTTTACACTCAACGCACTAAACCTATAAAAAAGATCCATATAGGGTTTTATGATGGTATAAATAATTCGTCTCGTGAGAATAAGTACTGCGGCACCTATGAATGGGGTTGCATTAATTCCAGACAATATTTAAAAGGACAAAATCCTATTTCGTAGCCGCATCGGCTAGGGGTTCTAATTAGGGTTTTGGGGTTAGGGTTCAGGGATAGGGGTTAGGCTGAGGCTTGTCTACTGCAGGTACGGCTCCGAAATAAGATCCGACCTTAAAAAGTTCTGAAAGGCTCCATCTAGTCAAACAATTGAGTTAATAATTATCGACCTCTAACACAGGAAACATATTGTCGCGGCAAACAGTCGTTCAGTTGACGGGTGGATCAACCTTAAATAAACGTATCAGTCCACGCATTCTGAAATCCACGTGCCACTACATAAGGGCTTCGTCAGCGTCAAAAGTTACGTCATTTTTCGCACAGAACATATTAAGGCATGTTAAACAGGTCCCATAGGACCTAGTGACTTCTTAATTCGACTGGTGAGTTCAGTATTTGAAGAGATATTTTTGCTCAGAATAGGTCAGAAAATCCCCAGTAATCAAAATTCGGGAGATGTATTTTTAGTTTTTATAGAATCATGTACTAGCGTTAGTATTTGCCAGTCAGCTGCATGATTACCGAGTAAATGTACTGCAACTATTTGCTTTTCCATCTCTTGTTCCAAGAAATGGAGAGGTAACAAGCATTAAACATAATTTTGCAATGGCATACAACATGTCTTCTGACAGACCAGATTTGTTTAGAAAAAGCGGCCTTTCACCAATGCCTGACTACAATGAACTGTTTTTTACTATCCGAAGTCTGGATATAGTGTATTATGTTCCATGCCTGCAAAACGCTGCTAGTTACACAATGTTTCTATTTAAGAACTTGTGGGCTAATTACAGAAAAAATGACACAAGTACAATGGCACCATTTGCATAGTAAAAACTTACGCCAATGGCACTGGTTACCCTGACAACTGCAGACTGTCGATTGCTTTCACTGTTTTGGGGAAATTTTTTTGAAATACACCATCTGAGAAAATACGGGTTTTCTCGTAATATAACAGCGCAAGTTGAAAAGGATATAAACAGCACAAATTCATAAATATTTTCGAGTTCACAGCGCATGTTTTATGGGGGCCATTTAAATCTCATGACATTCTTCCTTTGATTTAGAGCTAATGGCGTTTTAAAATCGCCCTTTGAATTTGGTTATTTATTTAAGAAGCATAAATTGAGGGTCTATTTTACGCAGGGCGCAGTCGACTATTGTCTTTTACGAGGATTCACCGTCCTGGCAATTCAAAAATGCTGTCCAAACCCTTTGTTTGTGCATGCTAAAACACTGCTTGAGAGTGAGCTAAGTCATTTAAAAACGATTTATATTCAGGGCGACTTGGATAACATAGGCACGACAGCAGTTTTAGGGTTGCTTGTTAATTGTCCGGACGGATTTAAGCACCGTCTCCATATATGCCTGCAGATAGACGCGAAGTTTATACTCCGTTTTGGATTGAAGTCGTTCCTACTTTAAGGCCCACCGTTACAAATAATTAATTTTATATTTTAGATTACTAGAAATGGGATCGCGCATAAAAGTGGGCTTGAGCCTGGTGATGTTATCGTGAAGATCTGTAAGACAGCACTTTCGGGAATGTCTAATAGCCAAGTGAAAGCGGAACTCCTTCGAGCCGGAAATGACCTGGACTTCACTGTACTGAAGTAAGTTTGTCTACTTTTGCTTTTATTATTGGTTGCTCTCCACGCAATGCTCGTGCAGCCACATTATTGGATACAAACTGAACTCTAACCCTACGTGTTATGGCTTGCTGTTGCACATTTTTTAATGCACCACTGAAGTAGTTCTTTTTCTTGTTTCCCATTAAGGCACGCATTCAACGTAGCCAACTACAACGCAAGCATGCAACAAATGAGCGCAGCTGCAGGTGGTGTGGGTCCCGGAGGTGCTGAAGAAAGATCCGAGATCGTTGAAGAGCACCTCTGGCGTCACGGAGGACCGCTTTTCAAAAACGTCCAGCCGAAGTCCTACAAAATACTGGAGCAGCAGTTACCTCAGTCGGCAATGGGAGGTAACCAAGAGCTTTTACGTTTACCATATAGTACTATGAAAAAATGTCCTTGCATAATGAACAGGCGTATTAAGTTCGGATTTTTTGCATTTGCAGACTAAATATCTACCAGAGGTTACTAGTAGAATTTGACCCTTCGGTTGTAATTGTCGCTGCTAACGTGGTACACCTGTTCACCAGATGCAGTGAAGTTGCGCGGATAATGCATCCGAAACTATGTTCAAATAAGAAACGCTTTTCGCGCAACCTAGTATTTGCTGGTGGGTGTAGAAGATTATTGTGGTCAGTTTCTCTTTGTACTCACTTGAAAAAGGTTAGATTTGACCATTAAAACAGCCCTCCACGAAGAAGTACAATTTATGCTCAAGCTATAAACGTCAGTTTCCCCTCTAAATTAAAGACAAATATGCATAGCTGTGTGTTCGAACTGCGATCGTGTCTCCTCAGATTGCCAATAAATGTTATATTTTTGGCCTCATGCACGTTGCCATGCGAATAGGCGGAATGTTTTGGGAGTGGTACTGGGTGTTTTAGCAGTTTTCCTTATCCTTTCGACTTTTGCGTCCCCAACAAAAAATCCTCCTGACAAAATACTTCAATAATAGAAGTTAAAAGAAGCCCAAAGGTGTGTATTGTCGGGCCTACAGCTAGTGAAGATGCTCAGAGTACGGCGATCACAGGCAATGTTGATACACTGACATTCGTGAGGGAGGTAGACGGTGGGCTACGATCGATATTCCATAAGGATGAGATGCTTAAAAACGTGCCTGTTGGAAGAGCAGATGGTATGTTAGAGTCAAAACCTAGTAATTTAGGCAGCGGGTGTGACAAGTAAAATGGTCTAATAATCCCAAACAGTGTGTATTAAGGGCTCTGTGATGATGAATGTTTGCGACAGATGGGAAAAAAGTATTCGTCATTCAGAACAACGCTTACTTCCCCGCGGGAGCTTGCCTAAAAATACGAATTTCACTTATCCTTACCCGAACTTCTTGAAACAGGCAGCAATTTCAAAAGATGTGGCCGCTCAGAATCAGATATTTGCGAAACCCACTCCTCAAGCATTAACAGAAGATGTCCTTTCGGCTTTACATTTATTATCTAAGCTCTCCAGAACGACGCCGGCAAAAACTGTTAAGTCGGCCATGCATCCTTTAAAAGATCATAAACTCACTGGCTGCCTTACTGACAAACATTTCCAACCATAATTTCCCTTCAGCCGGAACTCCGGGTTCAGTTTTTGATCGCACCACCGACGAACGGTCGCCCTATCTGCAAGCAACGGAGCAAACTATTCAGAAGGCCTATGGAGAATCTTAGGCCTACAAGCTGCATTACAGACGCGATGCTGCTTGGTCCTGTAATTACGTGCTTACTGAGGAGCATATTAATATCATCTACGTCTTTAATTATCTGAATGCCGAGTATGTGGCCACCCTAATTGGCCTTAGTCCAACCATAATTGTATTCTTGGGACTTACAGTGCAATTTCAAATCCCACAACCGCGCACCCTTTGTTTGCCCCTTCTTTCACTTCTTTCTTTCGCTTCTCGGGCACTTCAAACAATTATGCATTTGTCTCCCGATCATGGTTTCGATGTTGTTATTAAACTTCTTAAACTGCAAACTAAAGTAATTCGCAATGTACCCCGATACGCACGAGTCATAAGACCACATACTGTCCGAAGTACGTGCCATTAATCTGCTCAAATAATTTGTTGCGTGTTCGCTTCGTGACAGTAGCACGTTGGAAAATAGAGTGTAGAAAATGTATTCGAGAAATGACCTCCCGCAAGAAGAAAGGAGATGCAATTAGTCCTTCTTTGCTTGACATACATGCAATTCTTATATAATATTGCACATTTCTGATAACACTTGATAACTGCCACCAAAAAGACTTCGCGAAACAGATTTGTTGTCCCAGCAAGCTTTGAGCAAAAAGCAACGTTCTTACTGTTACACTAGAGGACCTCCAGACAGGGAAGTGTGGTTCGACTGGATGGAAGCGTCAACAGATTTCCGTCACATATAAACAGGTAGCTTCATGTCTCATCAGCAAATGAGGCCACACAAACCACCAGTCTGCACGATTGAGGGAGGGAGAGGTGACTAAGATAAATGCTATAGACAGCTTAATATTTTATTTATTGCCCCTATTCTGTGTTGACTGACCACTGTTTTTCATCCTTGTACTTACATAAGAACTGAAGACTAAAAATAAGTGTACTGTTTGAGTAAACGGAGACCCTGATACTTGTCGAGAGGGATAAAAACCATCTCACTGCAACTAAATTTTGTACAATAAAATAACCGTCACAAGCTCAACGAGTACCAGTAAATCATAAAAGCTAACCCCATAGTAGCTTTCGAGTCGGTCAATTCCAAGTAGTGTGTATTTAATTTTAAGCAAGCCGTATTAAACTTTGATGTCCGTAGCCGTGAGTACCAGAAAATTACAAGTGTTAGAAATGTTGTAAAAGTTACTCGAAGCCAGTCTCATATGCAAACTGGAGCTAATGGCCTAGGACCTAGGTAGATTACTTACGTCAAATGTTCGTTCTGCAGCCATTTTCACTTTCTTCCTCGGTAACTCGCTGGACACCGTCATGTCGAATACGACGCAATTCCTGAAGGACCTTAACCAGTGGAGGTTTATTAGCAACACAATTGATGCCATTATTTCGAAAAGAAATATAAGTAACCCACGCAACTTTCCTGAAACTAAGAGCATGAAGATAAACATTATACAATGGCTTTAGGTTAAGCTGATGTCGGCATTGCAATGAATGAAGCGATACCTGCTCATTCAGACTATTTCAAAGCAGTCCTGATTCAAATCGGCATCTCACCTCTCGTGAAGGTTTTGTCAAAGTTGCCCAGAGAAAGTATTTAGAAGACGGGAAAGGTACGGTGACATCAACGATAGGTTTGTGGCGCGCATATGTGAATTCGCTTGCTCGGCAACATTTTAGAATTCCTCGTTCGAGTTCATCCAAAATACGCAATTAAAAATTAAAAACTACGATATAGTAAGTTTATTCAAAGATTCCTCCCAACATGTCGAGCAAATTATCATCACTTAAATTATCACTGCGATCCTCTGCCGTATGTCATTCACGCTTAAACTACAGGTTTTAGCGTTGACATAAACCATCACCAATGTTTTTCGGCCGGAACTGAGGTCAAGTGCTCCCTGATGTGGGTAAAATTATGAGAATCGGATTTTTCGGACAAACGAGCGCTTCGCATTCTTCTTCCAGTAGGTCACAAAAGTCGAACTACCTACTTCGTGACTGTAAGAAATCGAGGTCAGTGCCTTCGAAAGGCCTCTCAAAAATTTGTAGACTTTCAAGTACAAACAAGTTGAGTAGACATGTATGATGCACACACTGGCAGAGGTGAAGCGGTCCAGGTGTTATATAATTACCCTAGATAGTCAGCAGAAGTATTTTTGGCGTCTTATGCAAAATGATCAGGCGAACTCTGACTGCCCATCCAAAATTATGCTCCTCAACATAGTATGAACCTTTCAACAGCAACGGCTTACTAGATGAAATAATTTGACGTTAGGTGGCGTTGTTTAACTAAAACACAAATACTCTGATAGATTAGGACTATTCCTTCCCTCACTGACTGATGCTTCTAATCCGCCACATAAATCTACAATCCATACTCCAAATTCAATTTCAAGTCACTCGAGCGGACAGTGATAGACTAATAGGTCAACAGTCTGCACTTTGTTCTGTGTTTAGTCATCACTTAGTGAATCAGTATTCCAATCCCCTCTAAAAATTTCACTAAAGAAACATTTCAGAAGGCGGAAGGAACCCTACAGAACAAATTTACAATATTCAAAACCTCCCGATAAAAACTATGCAAGAGCAGTCGCGGCAATCTAAGAACAAAGTTCAACACTTAGACGTCGGTAACAAAGGAAAATGGAATAAGCATAACAGGTAAAAATCAAGGACAGGAAAGTTGTAATTAAGAGTAGGGAAGAGTGATTAACTTACTGCACAATAAGCAGAGTAAGATGTAGATGCACAGACACACGTTTCGTCAGGGGCTGTAGGGGGTTGGCGCATCGGCGGTTCCATTTGCATTCCCCAAGAGAATCATGCTTATGCCACCCGCCATTCAGAGAGAAGTTTTCAAATTCCTTAGACACTTTTAAATGAAACTGGAACAAATTCTACTGTTCACACATTATCATACTTAGACGAAAGCTCACGTGAATATTTAAGTTGACACTCACTAACGGAAAACCTAGAAATATTCATGCTACATAAACAAGCATTGAAGAGTAACAAAATGGTGACTAGCTAAATGGTCAGATAAGTGTTCCGCAGATTGTATGCTTCTGCATGACAAAGGAGCTCGGATAACCATTGAGTCAATTTGTGTTCCGCGTTAGCTTTTCCATATAAATGCAGGTTCTAAAAGTAGTCAGTTACCTTGTCCAGAAATAAGCGTGGAACTTATACTTGTGCCTTCTAAGGTTGGTACTAATATTTTGATTGAAATTAATACTTGAGACGCCATTTCCGGCGAAATAATAGATTACAATTTGCAAAATCCCATCATCAAAAACTCAGTTCGAAAATACCAACTGCGCCGCCGTAAAAACGGCGCCAAAATCCAGAGGCAGTAGGCGAATGCCACATAGTCATTCTGCTGAAGCTGATGGATGTCAGCTAAAATACTCGGACGAACATTAGGGCGTAACTTTCGAAGGCATGTACGCGGGAATGTACTTTACGTCCACACACTGCTTTTTGAGGAAATTAAAAAATCAAAGTTAGAAAACGATGTGCCCTAATGCCCATTTGGAAAGCCGAGACGAAGCCGTCCTGTCTATCATACAGCAGAGAAGCATTGAAACACGCGAGCTTGATTAATCTAGTACTCTGGCGTTTATAACGGCAGATCAACTATCATTATACTACTAACTGCCAGTCGAGAGAATGCCAGCAATGATCCGAAGCTGGTGAATGCCAGTTAAAATATTCAAATAAAGCCCCAGACAGCACTTAAGATGGACTGTGTCGAGGGATTGACTTGATGCTCACTTACGGCTTTCTTTGAAATTAAGAGGTCTCAATACACGAAACTGGAGTATGTGACGAGAAGAACAGGGGGGGGGGGAAGTTGGTAGTTTGTCTGTCGGATGATCCCGCGAGGCGGAGTCTTATGACGTCGGAAAGGGCGAGTCGCATGCCTGGATACTTATGTAGGCTTCATAAATGTCAGCGGAGTTCGGGGTCCACAGCTGTGAGCGGTTCTTCGGATGCGCCGAACCCTGCGCAGCTACGTCCTTCAGCGGCACAAATAGACACAACACGTGCGCACCTTTACGTAATATTCATGTTAAGCCTATGGTAAATCAGTCAGTGTTTACAGTGCGTGACCTATCTCATGAAATGTTGGCTGAAATTCTGAAATGCGTTTTCGATTAGGAAGGATTACTTGGTCGCCGTTCTGATACTGATTATCTTAAGGCATATTCTTATAACATTTTGAACTTGGCAGAATGTCGGCTTTTAAAAGCATTTCTTTTCAATCTCCTGTAGAAAGGGTGCTCGGTAAAAAATGACTACTTAAGTAGCATGCATTTTTCCATTGATTTTCGATGGTCTTGGAAATTCAGATATATTTTATAGAAACCACAAACAAAAATATGCTTTCTTTTAGTCAATCAATATAGAATCACGTCTTCTTTATATTTTATACTTAAGGAAGGAGCATAATTAGGTTTTAAAAAAGTTTCTAATTATGAGACTTTTTAAGATCGCGATATGTCCATTGACATAGCATCGTACCTGGCCGTTTACCACTGCTCCTCATGAAATGTACAACATAGTCCGCATCCATTGCAAACTTTATAGGCCCTGTATGATATCTCATGAATGACATAGAAAAATATGGGATTTTCTTTACGCGGAACGCATGCTCCTTGTAGAGTGTAATCACTAAGCGTTAATGCAACGAATGATCAGGCTCCAGTTTTTCGGCAATTAGACAACTTTTTTAAAACCCAATTATACTGCTTCCTTAAGTATAAAATATAAAGAAGACGTGATACTCTATTGATTGACTAAAAGAAAGCATATTTTTGTTTGTGGTTTTTATAAAATATATTTGAATTTCCAAGACCATCGAAAATCAATGAGAAAAATGCATGTTACTTAAGTAGTCATTTTTTACCGACCACGCTTTCCACAGGAGATTGAAAAGAAGTGCATTAAAAGCCGACATTCTGCCGAGTCCAAAATGTTATAAGAATATGCCTTAAGATAATCAGTAGCACTACCACGACCAAG